CAATATCGATAGTAAATAATTTATTGAGTTTACAGACGTTCTTACGTGAAAGAATTCGATTAACTAGCTGTGTATTCTATTTAATATTCTATTGTGTGTATAGTCTAATGGCATGTCTCTTAATGCAAGTAGTTGTTTTAACAATGCTCTATAATGACCAATTAATTGATTACAGTTTACCCGTTTGTCGAATTATACCTGTTTTATCCGTCATGTTTGGACATTTAAGTCTATGGATAAGTTCATTTATTGCCGTTGAACGAACACTTGTCGAATGTTTCAATCTTAATTTTTATCGAACACGAAAACAGTCATTTATTGTTTCGATTATATTATTAATACTTCTTACTGCAACTCATGTTCATAAGATAATTGCACGTAAAATGATCCCAGATCCAACATTGCCTACATCATACTATTGTACATTTCAATTTTCTCATGCATGGGCTATCTATGACAGAACATTAAATCATCTACATTTATTATTACCATGTTTATTACATTTTTTAGCAACCATTTGTGTTTTAACAAGTATTGCCAAACGAAAAATATTTATTAGTGAAAGTCGAGAGAGTTTTTGGAAAATGTGGTTTCAACAATTAGGTAAACATAAAGATTTTCTAATTCCTCCCTTTGTTATTATTCTTTGTACGATGCCTCATGTTGTGTTTATCGACATCAAATATTATGATTGTGTTGAATCATTTGAGAAATTCTATTTACGTTTTCATATTGCAACTGAATTATTATTTTATATCCCGCAAATTCTTACATTTTTTATCTATGTTTATCCCTCAATGATATATAAAAACGAATATTTTCAATCCAAAGCAGGACAAAAAATACAAACATTAAAATTCAAAATATTGAGTATTTGTGGAAGGAACTAACTTTGTTGCTATGGCTCAACTGGATTTCAAACCGTTCATTCAAGATACAAAGACGCATTTGGATGGCTTCTTTCTTAATCAAAGTTAATTATTTACATCTAAATACATCTGTGTTCGAAGGCGTCTAGACATTTTCTTATATATCAAATTGAGAATGGACCTGTGCTGACGTTCGTTTTTAAGTTAAAATTTTCCGGTGGAATATTAAGCGTATGCCTTTTTTTATTGAAGTTTTCTGTCTGAAACTTTTTCTTTCGAATTTTTTTTTTCTCAAACAGTACAGTGGCCCAGCAGATTATTCGTCTGGTTGTAAATGCTAAAAAATAAATAATTGTGAAAGTCTTTTTATTATTTGAAACTGGATATGTGAATTTTGATTTCGACAATAAAACGATGTAAAAAGATCAACTTGTACCGTTGATGCTGTTTTATAGGCTAACTATTTGTTTTATGAGAATATAATTCTCATTTAATATTCCATGGTACGCTTCAAGAAGCAACAGCATTTCAACTAAAATTTAAATATTTTAAATTGCTTATAAATTATATAGTATATTCACATTATATTA